TGGAGCATGTGCCATACATTGTCGAACATACAAGTGGCCTTGACTTGTTACCTATGAAATGTGGGCTAAAATGACACACATTGTTTCTGATTACCAGTCTTGTGCCTGTCCTCTGCCACAAGACTGACACTGTTCCAGACAGAGTCTGCTCTGTCAGCATGACAATCATCTCTGACCTTTGATAGACAGGTCACATGAACGAGAAAGAAGCCATCTGGACATAGGCTTTGTTACTGCAGCATAACTGAGTCTGACCAATACATAGGCTTTTCAACCCTGAACACTGTTTTGTCACCTGAAGGTCTCAGGTTGCCAGCAATATCAAATGGAATTTAACAGTGCAGATGCTTTAATATGGCTAAGTAATGTCCCCCATAGGCTCATGGTTTGAATGGTTTGTCCTCAAAGAATGAAGGTTCAAGTAACACAGAAAGCAAGGACAAAGCCACAGAAAGTAGGCCATTAGGATGGGTCTTTGGGTATATATTATTCCTGACTATTCACTTCCTGTCCTGCTTTCTGTTTCCCAGCCTGCTATGGGGTGACCCTTCCACTGCAACTTCCACACAGTGATAGACCCTCCAACTCTGTTACCACAAATAAGTTTTTCCTCCCTTAAACTATTTCTGCCATGTGTTTTGAAGCAGCAGTAAGAAAAGCAATTAATAAAACAGGCTTTAGAGTCAGCCTACTTTTTATTCAAATTCCAACAGTAGGGTAATCTTGGTCATTGTCTAAGTTCCTCAGTTTCCCCATCAGTGGTATATTACTAGTACTGCTTACATAACAAAACACCATAGGCCAAGTAATTTGTAAACAGCAGAAATTGATTGCTCATAGTTCTGGAACTGGGGAATAGTACCAGAAGGTGCTGTCTACTTCATGGATGTTGGCTTTCATGTGTCTTCCATGGTTAAAGTAGTGAACACACTCTGTCAACCCTTTCTCATACAGACATGGATTGTACTCATGAGGTCTCTGCCCCCATGACCTCCTCCTACAAGCCAAGGTTCTTCATATTATTGCATTTCTGATTCAGTTTCAACATATAAGGTACATAGATTTCAGACCTTAGTAGGTAGATATTCCTCAAAGATATGGTAATGATCAATGAGCCACACCTACTTGGAAGATCACAGACCATTCAACATAGTCCAGCCCTGGATGACATTTCAGAGAGTAAGTAAGTCGAGGTCAGGGGTTTCACTGACACTCTCCCATGTTCTATATGCCAACAACCAGGTTTCCAGAAGTCACTCTCCCCCATGTGATTCTGATGAGTATCACTGGCCCTGAGCAGGCCCAGGAGAATGGAGAACAGGGTTTAGGAGCAAAGACTTAGGCACCAGATTGACTAGAGTTCAAATGCCATCTCTGTGTCTTCCTTCCTGTGTGCCTGCAGTTAAATCCCTATCCTCAGGAAGCCTCATCTTGCATTCCTTGGGTGAGGTAAGGATTAGGTGAAATGATTCATGAAAAACTGCTTCTCATGGTGTCTGGCACACTGCAAAGGCTCAGCAAACATCAGGATCAATATCAGTATTCTCTCCTGCCAGCACAACAGGAAGTGCAGGGGTAGAAAGGAAGGCAAGTCATCTTTTTTCAAAGTCAGAGAGAGCAGCTGCCCTCGTCCTTGTATAAACCCTTCCTTGAAGTCACAGACAGACTGTCATTCTGACTCAAAGTTAGTAGAAAACAAGGTATCCTTCACCAACATCTCAAAGCTGTCATGGATTCCCAAGGCCACCATAGGTAGCCAAGTCAGATTGTCATGTCAAAAGAGTTATCTACCAAGAAGCTATGCAACCTGTCCAGAGCCCTGTGGCTAAGTTTGATGCTATAAGTGTCCCTTCACAGGAAATCCACCATTGCCATCATGCTGCCCATGAGAGGAATCATCCCACTTTTGTCTTTTTCAGCCACATACTCTCGAGGGTACCCTATCTGCTATTGGCTGGATTCAGTGGTAATTCATGAACACACTTGAATAGGACCTCCACCTGGAGCCAACTGTCCTGGCTTCTCCTCTAGTCTAGCCTGGAGTCTATGCAGACACAGGATGCATTCTGTCTGGTTGGAGATAAACTTTACCAGCTTAGCCTTTGCCACACTGGCTGTTGGATAGGTTATTAATTACTTTTCTTATAGTTGTGACCAAAATACCTGACAAGAATTAACTAAAGGCATATGATGGGGATATAGGGAAGCCAGGAAGCAAAGAGATACTAAAGTAGAGCTCAGTCCGCTTATTCTTTTCCAGCCCATGGCTGGGTCCCACCACCCCATGGCTTGGTGCCAACTACATTTATGGTCCTCCCATCTTAATGAACTCGATGTAGAAACTCCCCCTCACCAGCTTGCCCAAAGGTTTGCCTCCTGTATGATTCTAGATCCTGTCATATTAACCATCACAACTCTATCCTGTCTACTTGATACTCCTCTAGTCTCTGGCCCTTATAGGCTCACAGCCATTTCATTGTGCAGGATACATTCATTTCAACTTCAAAAGTCACCATAATTTTGGCCAATCACAACACTGTCTAAAACATTCCAACCCCAACTTCAGAGATTCAAGCTAATCTCTTAGCTCTGAGTGCAAGTTACATAGCTTCAGTAAATATACAATGGTTGTACTGCTTAGTTTCTATTAGCAACTTAACACAACTTAGAGCTGCCTGGAATGGGGAAAGCTCAGTCATGGAATTGCCTTGGTCAGACTGTCTAGAGGCCATGTCTGTGAAGAATTCTCTTGATTGGTGGTTGACACAGAAGGACCCATCCCACTGTTGATGCACCTCCCCTAGGCGCATGACCTAGGCTATAAGGAAGCTACAGAGAACAAGTCAATAAGCAGTGTTCCTTTTTGAGTTTCTCCCCCAACTTCCACCAATGATGGAAAACTGGACCACACGGACAAGATTGCCAAGTTCCACTACCAGCTCAAGATGTAGCCTGGCCCCTTTGGGTCACAGTTGCAGAGGCCTCTGTGCATTGATCCTAGAGAAACATTTCCCTAGACAGTTGTTTTTGATTAAGGAACCCCTTCAAAGCCATTTTCAATTCAGCCTCTCTCAATTCAGCCTGAATACTATCCTTTCTTAAAAATGCCTTTCACTAAACAAATTAGTCCATTACTTTCTGGTCCAGCCTCACTTGAGTTCTCAGGGCCTAAGTAGAATGCAGTGACATGATTTGCCAAAAACATGTGAATAGCCTCTAGCCCAGTTCTCTGAACGTTCATGTGTGGGGCCTCTACTGCCCTCATTTCTGTTGGCATTCTGGTCTTCCAAATTCCCATCAGGATGGATGTCCCATTAAACTCTGCTTACAGCATTCTGGGGCTTCTCTAGCCCCAAATTCCAGACTAGTCCACATTCCTCCCACACACTAGTTCCAAAAACCTACCAATTGCATTGTCAGGCCTATTACAGCAACAGTACCACTACTTGGTTCTAGTTTTCTGTATTAGTTCCTTTTCTCATTGCTGTTAAAAAAAAAAATTCTTGACAAAGCAACTTGAAGAACCAAGGATTTATTTTGACACACAGTTTAAGGGAACGCAGCTCATCACGGTGAGGAGGCATGCAGCAGGAGTGTGAGGTGCTGGTCACAGAGTATCTGCTGTCAGGAAGCAGAGACCAAAGCTGGTGCCCAGCCACCACTACCGCTGTCCTTTCACTCGCTCCAGGCTCCCAGCCCATGCTATCACCCACATTCAGAGTAGGTCTTCCCACCTTGGCTAACCTAATCTAGAAATTCCCTCGCAGACATTCCCCCAAGGTCTAGCTCCTAGATAATTCTAGTTCCCGTCAAGTTGACAGCCAATAGGAACCATCATAGTTTGTCTGATGAAAATTTCCAGATTAGTCTTCTATTGTGCTGGAGAACATAAAAGGCAGACCTAACGTGCCCACCCTGAGTATTTCCTGAATGTTCCTAAGTACCAGATACTGCCTTTCTCCATGTTGTCAAGGAACAGAGTAGTGTGTGACCAAGACTTAGGAGGAGCTTTGCTGGCCACACTGCTGTATGCTGTACCTAAGGTATGACCTAGGACTGGAAAGAAAGTTCAGGAGACCCCATTCAGACATCTCAGAACCTTTTACCCTCACTGGAAATATAAAGAGGTCCTTCAATCACAAAGAATGACAAATGCCACTCTAAGTTAGCAGCTGTCACACTGGGGCTACTAAGTTATATCTTTTCCATAGCCCTCACAGAAAACCTTGAGGTTGGCAAACAACTGTATAGATCCGCTACCAAGCCAAAGGAGGCGGCAGTGAGGGTCTGTGAGAAGGGACAGTTCAAACGGAGACATCTTCAGTAAAATAATTGCAAGGCAACATTTCAGGGTCATTTAGTTTCTTATTGCATTTTAATGACCGATAAAGAAGATATAAAAATGTCATTTATTCAGAAACCCCAGTGTCTTACTTTCTGGTTGTTTTAACAGATCAACTGCAACATACAATATGATTTCTTTGAAAAATCTCACACCAAACACTATCATCAGTCTTCCGTGCTGTGGATCTGTGCAGTTACTTCTTGTCACATAGTCAAGATAAAAGTGAAATGAAGTTAAACAAAAAATTTTCTCTCTTCTTGTCTAGCAACAAAAGTGAGGAGTCCTCTGTAAACCCCAGCCTTCGGCATTTTCCCATTGTTTGCTTTGACTGTTTTTTTCCAGAAAGGTAGACTGTTTCCATTCTCAGGCATTATGCAGTATTGTGGGGACACATGAGGGACCCTTGGGGTTTTTCAGAGGTAAGAGGCAGCTTCTAACATACCGTCTTTGTCTGCACTCTTCACCACCCAAAACCAACCCAGAGTCTGCCACGGGAGGTGGCCCAAAGGGCTGGGCAGAGCAAGGGAGACGTCTCAGCCCCAGCTCACCCTGTGCTCCATGGGTGGGAGGGGCTATGGCTGGGGCTGCATGACTCCACCTTCAGGTTTCTCCTCTCACATATCCACTGGCTCATCTCAAATCAACTTCTGCACCTTTATAATCCAACTTCTGCAGCTAGTAACATCGCAAATGCAGAGTCAGGCTTCTCAGCAAGGGCTTCAGGCTTGTCAAACTCAATCACCTGAAAATCAGAGAAGAATTGAAATTTTCAGAAAAAAAAAAAAAAGTACACACCACACAGCCCTAACCAGGGAAGCCTTTGAGGAGGTTACACCAGCCAGAACTTCCTGCACCTTCCCATTTTCCATGACCAGGACGAGGTCACAGTTGAGAACTGTGTTTAGGCGATGGGCGATGGTCAACACTGTGCAGCTTTTGAAGGCATCTTTTACAGTGCTCTGGACAAGGGTGTCTGTCTTGGAGTCCATGGAGGCAGTAGCTTCGTCGAGGAGAATTATCTGTTAAGGAAGAAGCGCTGTAAAAGCCAAAGCTGTGCAAAGAGGAAGATGCATAGCCTCAGTTCCATCCTAAAAGACTAGGAAAACACAAACACAATAAACTAAGCACCCATCTTGAAAAGCTATGTGTATATATATATATATATTTAAAAAAAGACCAAAAATAAAGTCCAACCGCAAGCCCTCATCTTCCTCGGAGGGATATGCTAGAGGAGCAAGATGGTATTTTCTCTCTCTTAAAAGCACTTTATTCAAACATTGCCAGTAGGAAGGAAGGAACACCACACATTGCTACTAGGAAGAAAGAAACTCGATGAGGGCCTTCTGTAGTACATAGTGTATACACAGTAGGAGCCAGCGTGGCATGATAACAGCACTCATACTGCTTTGCTATAGCTGCTGGAAAAAATTACAAGGAACTTGGAGACTTGGAGCATCACAAATTTACATCTTACATTTCCGGAACCCAGAATCCTGCAATCAAGAATGGGGGCTGCATCCCCTGCCTTTTCCAGTGTCTGCCAGCCACCTGCATTCCTCAGCCCACACCCTTGCCTGCCACCATACCTGCTCCCTTTGATTCTCCAGCTTGCTTCTTACAGAGACATGGGAATACACTAGACACTAGACCCATCAGATCCAAGATAACTTTCCTATTTCAAGATCTTTAATGTCCTCCTCATAGCAAGGTTCCTCTTACCACATGGGGGAGCATACAAGTCTGGGGTACAGGACAAACAAGAACAACATTGGAGTTGAAAGGAGCATCATTCTGCCTGCCAAAGCACTGTTCAGAATTTGCAATGCGAAGGTTTAACTTCAACCTGTAACTGCACTTGACCTTGCCAAGTTACCTAATTTCCTCCCATGTGAAGAGATCATGTGTTATTATTCACACAAAGCAGGAAGCCCCGTAGCTACTTCACAGTGAATAGTGCCACCCAGGGCACTGCTGTGCACACCTCTAAAGAACACATGAAGTGATTCACACTGATGAACACTAGAAGGATTTCTTTTCTTCCTCTTAATTGTTATGTGTACATGTATGTGTCTGTGCGTGGGTATATACACACACACCCATTCACGTGAAGGCAGAGTCCAGAAGAGAGTATCAGATTCCCTGGAGCTGGAGTTATAGGCCATTGTGATTTCAGTACTGGAGAGCGAACCCAGGTCCTCTGGAAGACCAGCAAACATTCTTAACCACTGAGCCATCTCTCCAGGCCCCAGAAAATAGGATTTGTTAAAAAAAATAATAATAACAATAATAATGATTAACTGTCATTCTCTTTCTCAGAATCAGTAAGGCTGGTTAAATCATTCAGAAAAGCATATATACATTTTCCAAATCTTATAAACTAGCATTCTGAAGGCTTGGGTATCCTAGGTACTATGCATGAGGACTCAGAATTATTCAGGGACAAAGGGGGAAAGTTGAGAGCCTACTTTTCAAACTCAAGCCCCCTAGGAAAGTGGAGAGAATACATAAGCCAGACCTCCCAAGGTGTAGCCCAGATAAGGAAGGTGCTGCTCCTGGAAATGGCTGTTATTTTTCAATTTTTGCCCCTCACAACTTTGTCTTAAGAGAAAGTGATCGGTTTTTAAATTACTGCATTGCCCTGTCTTTGCTGAAAGACACGCTTGTGCCTCTGCGTCCTGGATTGAGTGGCACCACAGGGAATATCCAAAATTTGACCAATCCATTTTCCATGCTGTTTCCTTACTTTTGAATTACGGAGAAGTGCTCGGGCCATACAAAGCAGCTGGCGTTCCCCTACTGAGAAGTTTTCCCCATTTTCTATGACTTCTGCCTGTAATTTTTCTGGGAGTTTCATTATCTATAAAACACAGAAAATGATACATTTATGCTGATGATCTATAAAATTGTCCTGTGTTGTCTTATTGATTGCCCCCTCCTCTTGCATTCATCAGCTTGCTTTATTTTACAATGGGAAAGAAAGTGCAAAACAGCAATCATTTCAATACTGCAAATAGGCACCAGAGAGGGCCAGGGTGGGGGAGACATTAATAATGAAAAGCCAGTGTGACTCACCAAAAAGGACAACTCATACATATACTTCTAGAGAACATTTAAGCAAATGCAAGTGGGCTTCAGTGTTGTGGTTTTCATGGATAAAACAGGGATAGGACCAGAGAGTTTTCCAGAAGGCTGAGACAAAGTCTGTGTATTCATCACGACTAACTGAAGGGGCTTTTCGGGGGGAAGGGGGGGGGAGTGCTTGCCCTGGCACCTCAACTGGGGCTGCGGCTCCAAACAGGACAGGGTCTTATGTCATAGACAATTCAAACCAACTGCACTTGCAATCCCAGAACAAGCTATCATTCAGTTCTGATAAGGCTAATGAGGCCCCAGGCCAAATAATATGGCCCTCCCTGACTCTGGACCAGGATGGACCTGGATTCAAGTCTCCATCCTGCTCCTCACTGGCATGGGCCTGTTACTTCTTTAATAGCACCAGCCTCCAAGGGCTATGCAGAGGACCAGGAGAGATGATGCATGTAGAGCTGGTGCCTGGATCAGCCAGAGAGCTAACAAATCGTACTGTGGTTGCTTTGATAAGCAGGAGCAGGTAAGGATTGAGTTTCACTGGCGTATGTCACTCCTGCAAATAAACCTGGCCAATTGCTGGCCCCGAAGCCAGGTATCTGAGGCAGTGGTGTTTGGAATAGACTCATGCTAGACAGCCCAGGATACCTACTGTGTCTCTCATGAATGTTCTCTCCAAAACATGCCAGAGTATCTCATCAGTGTGACTCCCCAAGGGATCCAAGTTGTACCTGCGATGAAGCAAAGGAAAGCAAGCTGGATTCCCAAGGATGAGACAATAGTGAGCACAGTGAAGATGAGAGGATGGGGAGGAGATGTGACGTCAGGAAGGCCCAAGGGTGGCTTCTAGAACTACAAAAGGTAAGAACACATTCTCTTCCCCATAGCATGCCCAGGGATAAGAAGTGTGATGGGAGGAGCCTGTTCAGCCCAGGCCACAAGACGGAGAACCTACAACTCTGTGATAGAGTAGAGACCTCAGAGACAGGCAGGAGTGAGAAACCCCACCAGGAGGCAGGCCACGCTCAACCACACCAGGGTCCACAGCATCAACACACAGCAAAGCATTCTACACCTTATACAAGTTCTGGGCAAAGAAGGGAGAAAAGAAACTTTTCTCAGCATCCCTTTCAGCCTCCAGGACAAGAGGCAGGGCTGCAGATTCCAGGCCTCATCCAGAGCTGCAGATTCCAGGCCCCACCCAGGGAGTGTTTTGAGATGCATATTGTATCACCAATATGATCAACTTTAAGTAAATAGAGTTTCCCTGTTTCATCCCATGCCTAGTGGGATGACTCTTCCCTTTCCCTGGACCAGCTGAGATACTGGGTATCTATGCTTTGGCATCAGATCTTGAGCCTGTGTAAGTCACAATCTCAATCTGTTTGTACTTGGTCAGTTTTTGATTCTGTAGCAGGAATAACCAATGCACTTGCCAAAAGCCTGCTACACATACAGGCCAGGGAGTATACTCAGGGGCACTTTTGAGAGTGGCCATTGCTAACCCTGCCATAATGCCAGAATACAGGCATAAAATAGGGCTGTTGGCACCAACTGTGGTATCTGCTCACTTTATGCATGATAAAATAATAGTAGTATTGCTAATGTTATTAAAACTATTAATATCACTACTAATCATATGTTGTTGTTAATAATGTGATGATATAATGTTATAATAATAGTTTCTGAAATTCCAGCAAGACTCAGGACACTGTTCCTTGGCTCCTTCTAAAGCTTTATTATAAACCAGATACCAGCAGAGTTTCTGAGCGCCTGCACAGGCCAGTTCCCTGAGCTAAGAGTGCCAAGAACAGCATGGCCCGGCAATTTCTCAGCTACTGATTGGCCCAATTCACCGTCTCCAAACAGGAATGCATGATGATCGAAAACAGCTACCTTACTGTACCTACAAACAGGACAGGATCTTGGGGGATCATGGTCAGCTTGGTTCGGAGGTCCTCCAAGCTCACGGTGCAGATGTCCACCTCGTCAATGAAAATGGTACCAGAGGCTGGCTCCACCAGACGAAACAGGGCCATGCCCAGGGATGATTTTCCTGGGGACAATAAGAGCAGGAACAACAAATCCAACAGCAGTTTTCACTTCCATCATGTCCAAGCATTTAATTAAGGGAATTTTCAATGTGACGAGACTGGCTCTGTGTGGATGACTCTGCAGGCAGACATCCCTCACTCTGGGGGACCAGGCTGCCCTAACACCATTAACCTGCCAGTCCCTGCAGAGGCCTTTAGCACATAACTCATCTTCTGGGCCTCATTTCTCCAGAATGATTCTCATTTAATTAATTCAAAAACTACTGTGTATTCGCTTCCAACTCTCCACACCCAATCAACCTGAAACCCTAATTTACAGTAAAGAGATTTGAGGGGGAAATAACAATGGCTCCAGCACTCGTGTAAATCTCTCTGATGTGGCTTAACCAGCTCATCCAGTGTAAATTCAAACAAACATCCCCCAAAAATAAATGCAGAGTTTGTCCTCACCAGAACCTGTTCTTCCCACAATCCCAACCGTCTGCCCACTTTGGATGTTCAAGTTCAGCCCATCGAGAACGAGGGGGGTGTTGTCTCTGTATCTCATTCGATAGTCCTTGAAAGTTATCTCCCCACGGCTTGGCCAGTCTTTGGGACAGGTCCCCACTTTGAAGGGGTGAGTGTGTTCAGGAACACAGGTCTGAAAAGCAGAACAGCCATTGACCAACTCGACAGCCACTGGTTTCCACTGACTTAGCTCACCCATCCCACAGCTGCCAATGCTGGGATGCCTGTGGTGGTGAGTGAGACCCATAACCCTGTACTCAGGGAACTCACATTCTGCCCACTGTGGAGCTACACACCTGTAACTATAACATTTGGGAAGCTGATGCAGAAGGATTGAGAGTTCCAGGACAGCATGGGCTATGTGAGAGACTCCATGCAAAATAAGCAGGCCACATTTCAGTGGGGGACATTAGGTAATAGGTAATAAAAAGAGTATCGTAATAAAATAAGGAAAGTGACTTGTTCAGCAGGTGACAGCAAGCAGAATAAAATTATGTGAGGGTTGAAGAGGGCATCTCTGACACTAGAACAGAGGCTTGGAATGTGGAAAGGATGACAACTACAAGGGTTTCTGTCCAGGACCTTCCAGACAGGGAAGACAGGTATTGCAAAGGCCTGGCAGCCAGAAGAGCCTTGAGTAACTCCAGGAATAAAAAGAAAAGTCGTGTAGAGAAAGGATGGATGACTTAAGAGGGTAAGCAGAGACGGCTCACAGTGAGCCATGGGACCTGGGTTAGTGTCAGCATGATGACCTTGACACTGTGGGACAAATCCAGAGCGAATCTTGAGATTTGTAGAATCAATCTAATTTCAATGTCTACAAAAGTGCTAGGAAGAGGAAGAGGACAGAGTGAGGAGGGTCAAGCTCAAAAGTCTTCAGAGCTCAGCAGAAAAAAACCTGAACTTTTTTTCAGATGCACCCGAAACCTCGAAACTGAATGAGCACAAAGCCGGCTCCTTTGCCTCACATTATGGCAGCTCACCCACCAATGAGGAGTCCCCTGTGTTCCATCAGGCTGGCCAGCCAGCCCAATAAGTGACCTCAATTAGCTGAGAAAACATTTGCCTTCTTAGAGGGTACTTTAAACCCCTAGAAGATTTGGAATTCAAAATAGAAGTATTTTGAATGAACCAATACTGCACTAGCAATGTCTTTAGTTTAAGGAATCTGCTTATTTTATGCTCCAAATATTTGCAGTATTGCAGAATTTGGGCTTGAGATTCTAACTTAAAATCTATACTTGAATAATTAGTTTAAATGTGGTTTTAGGTCAAAAGCTTTCTGCTTCCATATGGAGCTGTCCTAAGAATCTCAAGCCCACTGCATTCACAAGCTCAGTTAGACATACGCACACTCAGGAAGGTTTGTGTGTTAAAGCAGATTATGAGGGCATTTTAAACAGGAAAGTGGATGTGCTGAATTTTAAAATGTTTAAGAGTGTCCAATAAAGCTTCCAAATGGGGCCAAACACTATCCAGAGGCCCACAAAAGTGGCTGCTGGGTTTCTGTCCTTTCTCAGAGCAGCTGCATCCTACATTGCACCAAAAAGCTTTCAAAGAAGAGGTGAACTCATCTTCTTTTGCTATTTATAACTTTAATCAAATATTAATTTCCAGAAACCGAAGTGAGGCACTGAATTTTGGATTGGATTGTGAATACAGGTTTTAACAGGACAGGTGACAAGCCAGATTCCAGTTATTAAATGGATCCCATTCACAAAAAAAAAAAAAAAGAAGAAGAAGAAAGAAAAGAAAAGAGGAAAGGGACAGGAGAGATGGCTCCACGGTTAAAAATGTGATGATTGGAAAAACATCTGAGGCAAGTGACCTGCGTGCCAGACCCAGTTCGGCGGCGGCGGTGGGTTCCCAACACCGATCACCCAGAGGCAGCCCCCAGAGGCAACCCAGCCTCCATCCACTGGCCCAGGTAGGCCAGGAACTGTTTTCTAGTTCCAGTTCGTCATGGCTACACAGAGTCATCTGAGGCAAGCGACCTGCGTGCCAGACCCAGTTCGGTGGCAGTGGTGGGTTCCGAACACCGATCACCCAGAGGTAGGCCAGCCTCCATCTGCTGGCCCAGGTAGGCCAGGAACTGTTTCCAGTTCCAGTTTGTCGTCACTGCTCAGAGTCATCTGACACAAGTGACCATACGGAGTTCAGCGGCGGGATCCGACAACTCGAGGCCCGGTGACAGCTCTGCCTCCAACTGCCCTTCTGGCGGGACCCGGCACGCCCGGACACGGCCGACACCCAGGTAACAGTGACACCTCCATCCACGAGAAAAGAACCGACATTAGAGTATTGGACTGTTTGCATCTACCAGAAGGGAACCGTGATCCCACACCCACCAGGAGAACAAGAAACACTTGCTACACCCACCAGAAGAAAGGATGAGAAGAGGATAGGGTAAAAGCACATCCAACAACAGAAAACCCAATATGACACCACCGAAGATAGGAACCATACACCAGTAAGACCTCAACATCACGATGCAGATGAACCAGAAGAGAATGACCTTAAAAACATCTTCAGGAAAATGATAGAGGACCTCAAAGAGGACATGAGAAAATCTCTTAAAGACATTGAAGACAAAACCAAAACATACAAAAAACAGTTCAAGACCTAAAAAACGAAATAGAAACAATAAAGAAAGCACAATCTGAGGCAATGCTGGAAATAGAAAAGCTGGGTAAACGATCAGGAACTACAGATGTAAGAATAACCAACAGAATACAAGAGATGGAAGAGAATCTCAGGAGTTGAAGACACACTAGTGGAAATAGATTCATCAACCAAAGAAAATCTTAAGTCCAACAAATCCCTAACACAAAATATGCAGGAATATGGGATACCATGAAAAGACCAAACCTAAGAATAATAGGTATAGAAGAAGGTGAAGAAATCCAACTCAAAGGCACAGAAAACATATTCAACAAAATCATAGAAGAAAATTTTCCAAACCTAAAGAAAGACATGCCAATGAAAATACAAGAAGCCTACAGAACACCAAATAGACTGGACCAAAAAAAAGGTCACCTCGCCACATAATAATCAAAACACCAAGCATACACAACAAAGAGAAAATATTAAGAGCAGCAAAGGAAAAAGGTCAAGTAACTTATAAAGGCAAACCTTTCAGAATTACACCTGACGTGAAAGCCAGAGGGTCCTGGATCGATATTCTACCTACACTAAGAGACCATGGATGCCAGCCCAGACTACTATACCCAGCAAAGCTTTCAATCATTATAGATGGAGAAAACAAGATATTCCATGATAAAACCAGATTCAAACAATACATATCCACCAATCCAGCCCTACAGAAAGTACTGGAAGGTAAACTGCAACCCAGGG